AAAGTACAAGCATCCTTATTCTTTAACATTTCACTAAACTAGAACAAGGAATAACAAAATAAAAATAAAACCACAGATGTCTTTTGTGTAAACCACATGGAAGGGATTTCTGGTCTGTTGTATTGTGAAGATCTGGAGAAAAGGAGCAAGATCTGTCAGAGTATGGCCAGGCTGGGATGTATCACTCGAGCAGATTCATAAAGAACCTGATACTTCATCCGGTAATGCTGTGCATGTTGACTGATCTGATCCTCAGCTTGTGTTCTGTGAAAGGGCAAGAGTTGGTGAAACCCTATTGTGATTTATTTATGGCATATTATATTACCTGCCAAAAGTTTTACATTTCACTCTTTGAGTTTGAGATCATAGTTCTTGTTTACACGGGTGTCATAGGCTTTAGGGTAAGGCGGATTCAGAAGTTGGTTATTAAAACGCCTGAGAGAGGCCTACTAATGGTTTATTTGCATTCTTGTGTTAACAATGTTATGTAAATAATCACAAATCACATGCAGTCCTCATGATGACCGTTTTTTTTATTGTGTTTAACTGGTTTTGTATACTTAGAACAGAGCAAGGATAAAGGATTCGTTTCTGTAGAGGAGAGGTGCTTACAGACCATGACTGTACTTGTCATTGCTGCCATCTTTGTTTACATTATGTAGTGGTGCCGTCTGTGTGTCCTTTTTTTTTTTGGCTTGGGTTATGTATGTTAGATGGTGACAGGAAGCGGACACAATGCTCAGTTTATTGTTCTTGTATGAGATTACAGGGCTTCCCTGTGCACCAGGGTTGTCGTTTTATTTCACAACAGGAAAGCCAATTTGATGATCTGTTCAGATTTAGAATTTTATTGTGTGTGTATCTATGGTCATTGCCCTTTTAGAGCATATAAATTGCTATAGTTTTCCATGGTTTCTTATTACGCAAATCACTAAAAATTGCATCCAAATGTTTTGTTTCAGGTTCAGATGTTAAAGCTGAACTCCAGGCAGATATAAAAGATGCAAACTAATGCAGCTTTATAATCCTTTAACCCCTTCATGACTGAGGCCCTTTTTTCATTTTTTGCACCCATGTTATATTCCACATTTTAGGCCTGAAAATGACTTAATCAGAAGCGATCTGGCGACAGGTAAGTCGCCAGGATCGCTTCTGTTGTAAAGCCGACAGTCGGCTCTACAAGTTTAAACAGAGTCCCGGCGGCAAAAGTCGCCGGGAGTCTGTTTAAACAGCCCCGATGCTGGCGACGTACACTGTACGTCGTCAGTCACGAAGGGGTTAAACATCAATAAAGTGACACTAAACTCAGGAGTTAAATCCTAAAAATGCATTCAAGTACCTCCAACTATTAACAAAAATGTATCTTATTTGTGTATCACTCAGGCCCGGTTCACATCTGAGCAACCCGAGATTGCATGGCGATCCACGCAATTGCAGAAACGCGCACATACGCAAACCGCGCTTGTGGTGCCATTATTATTCGGGATTTATACAGCGCCAACAGTTTACGCAGCGCTTTACAATATAAGGAAGACATTACAATCCCAATTCAAGACAAGATGACAAGGAGGGCCCTGCCCCTGAGGGCTTACAATCTCTAATGGCACCCCAATCGCGGCTAGCAATCAATATAGTTTCGAGCAGCGTTTCTGTGGGGGCAAAAAAAACGCAGGTCGCTCGTTGCACAAAAAGGTGCATGAGCCTTTTTGCCGTGCAGATATGACCCTTTTTAAATCAGGGCTTCGCGGCATGTAGCCGCGCGTTGCGTGGCAGCACATCTGTGTACATCTTTGGACTGGATGGAGAAATACACATCCGGTTTGGAAAGCTCTTATTTTCTATTCCATCTTTAGTTGTTTGCCTGGAGTTCAGCTTTAAGAAACCAACTGACAGCTGAATCTGAAACTTTGAACCTTGCTTGGGGTGTCGCATATCTAGAGGGATCCCCGATGTCGTCCTTGTTCTCCGGGCTGGTCTGAAGACGACATGTTCCTCTTTACACTGTGTACAGTACAGACTAAGGATAGAACATATACAGTGTCTTGTGATGATTGGCAGATCTAAGATTATATTTGCAAAGTTGCTTGTTGTCTCTGAATACATTATAAGAGCCACAGTGTTTTAGTACAGCCCCTTGTGTAATAGAACCTGTATAACCATTCCTTCCTCCTACACCCGTATACTAACAAAGCATTGTCCTATATGACTGGTTGTGTGACCAGAGCTGTGGCATGGATCGAGAGGGCTTTGCCAAGTAAGAGGATGGGTGCCCTTCAGAAGAGACCACATTTCTTCAGTACCTGCAAGTATTTATGGCAGGGCTGGGCAATCCCAGGAGCCAGGTAGCCAATGCTCCTTAAAAAAGTGACAACTGGTGCCCAACGTTTTGAGGTTTTCTCTAGTTGCTGTCAATCAAGCTGACTCCTAAAAAATATAATAAAAAATCCTGCCTGCTCCTGAATTCCATATTAATGTAGTGTAAAGGCAAGGTGTTTTTACCTTACTGCATGCTCTGCATTAAAGGAGAACTATGGGGTCAGTGCTTTTCCTCATAGTTCTCCTAAGGCCCCGTTCCCACTGCGCGATATGCAAATCGCGCGACATCGTGAGATTTGCCGTGCGATGGCGCGTTCAAGCTTGCATTGAGCAAGCTTGAATCGCGGCTAAATCCGCTCCAAAAAGGGTCCTGCTGTAGCGACACACGACCCGCGACAGCAGGACCCTTTGCCCCATTGGATTGCATTGGAGCGCGATATCGCACGGTAATTTGCCGCGATATCGCGGGAATTACCGCGAGATAAATCGCTGAATGTGAACGGGGTCTTAGTGTAACGGGAGGACACAAACTAGCGTCCTCCCGTGACCCAAAGCTCAGTATACCGCGAGCTACAGCTCGCGGTATACTGAGACCGCTGCAGCCGGGACGGATCACAACATTACTGTCGAGATCCACCCAGCTGCGTGATTGGCAGCTGGCTCTGCCTATCTGGAGGCAGAGCCAGCTGTGTACCCTCCCCCGTCTGTTCCGCCAGGCAGCGTTGGAGGATCGGAGCGGGGAGGGGGGGGATCCCTGCAGGCTCAGGATCGAGAAGTGAGCGAGCGACGCTATGTGTTCGCTCACTTCCCGGTCTATTGAGCCGACCTGTGACAATTCCATTGTCACACGTTGGCTCGAACTATGAGGTCACCTCTCACCACCGCCGGGTTGGTGAAGACATCTTCCGTTCCAAAACTTGCTGGTTGTGTGGAAGGGTACTGAGGGCAGAGGAGCGACTGGCTCCTGCTGTCAATCAGTTGGGTGGAGAGGAGGGGTGTGGCATGTTGCACTGTGTGTCTGTGTCTATAAACGCACACAGCTAGTTGCGGGCACAGCCGAGAACGCTCATGCACAGGTGTCTTTTAAGCAGCTGGCTAGCTGATGGGGGACCCCTGCAACAGGCAGGGGTGGGCGACAAGTTTGGGGATTAGCTAGATAAAGAGGAATGAAAAAAACTTTAAAAAAGGATAGCGATTTCATGCAATTATGACCCTTCCAAACTTAAAAAGAAAAAAATAATGGAAGGTTTAATATCACTTGAATTGGTTCACCATAGGACTTTTATCTGTAACCTTATCCTGTATCTGTAATCACATAGTATAACTCTGATTTATTTTCAGGACAAGTAGCAGGTAATAATGTTTCTTTGGCTTTTAGAGATACATTTATGTGGGAGAAGTGCCACCAAACCTAAATGACTGCTGGACCTTAGTGCAGCAAAGCAAGCGTTCTAACCACCAAAGTGAAGTTATAAAACGAGGATCTTCGACTTCTAGGGGCATTAAAACTGTGGGCCAATAGTGGTTGAATGGGACAAGTGGTGTTGCGTTCTGTATTGCTGTCACATGTAAATTTATAGGTTCCCATTTCATGAATGGGAGGGGAGGAGGTCATTTGCAGGCCAAATACTTCCTGTTTGTATATGAGGCATGTTGCAACGGCTGCTGAGGTCACCACTAAAGATCAGACTCAAGTCTGATATGTTTTTTCTTCTTTGTATGGATTTAGTCTCTTTTGGTGTATTTGCTTGCTGACTCTCACATGAGAATAACAGTCTACAACAGGCAGGAGATGTATGCAAACTGGAGGTGAAGAAAAATACTATTGTCCACATTGTATTTTGTAACCTACATTAGGTCAGGTAGAATATGAAACTACAGACAGTTATGTAATTGACCACATCAACCATAGACTGACCCATTAATAACAGTATATTTGACACATTTCTAAAAATGTCTAAAATGTAAGTTTTTTGCCTGAGATATAACTAGTGACTACTGTATGAATCATGTCTCTATTTACATAGGTGTAAATAAATTGTGGTTTTATTTATTGTGATCTGGAGTGGTTTGATTGTACTGTTCAAAACCTTGAGGGCAGGTTCACATTATTATCCAGACCAGATCTGGTCTGGAAAATGGTGTGAACCTGCCCTGCAGTTCCAGTGCATTCCAGACCAGAAAAAAATGACATGCAGTATTTTTCTTGTCTGGTCAGCATTGCTGAGCCTGATGAAGGGTACCCTGCGCGGACCCGAAAGCGATAGTTCTGATGCCATGACATTTTGAATAAACAAGCACATTGGATTGCAATATTTTTGGTGTGCTGGTGACATCTATCTACTGATATTATCTACCTATACAGAGCAATAAAAACTTCCTTTTTTTTTCTCTCTACTCTGTGAAAAAGTTTTGGTTATACATCAGGGGTGTGGAATTCGTATCGCCCGACGCCTGGGACATGTAGTGCCGGGCAAGTGGTTTTTTCACTGTTTTAGCCCTGCTACAGACAAGTATCAGGGCTGGTTTTACTTTTTTTAAATGAGCGCCGAGAGCGGGGGGAGGGGCCAGAGCGCTGAAAGCAGGGGGCGAGGCCGGAGCTGGGGGGCGTGGAGTAGTGATGGAGCAGTGACAGGCTCTGTCACCTCTTTCAGCCTCTGTCGGCCGATGCTCGTTCATGTCACAGGAGTTCTAGCACAGTACTGTGCTAGGACTCCTGTGTTGGAGGTGACGGTCAATAAAGAGAACCTGTCACCTCCAAAAGCTATCACTGTGTGATAGCACTACAGTTAAGTTTAAAAAAAAAAGTAATAAATAATAGTTAAAAATTTAACTAAACAAAAACAAGCCCCGCTGCCCCAACTGCATGCGAATAAACACGGGCAGGGCGGTATTGCAGCAGGAAAACACCGCAATCTGCCTGGCACGACTGGGGTGCCAATAGGAAATAATGGCACTGCCAGCGCGATCGGCGGTGGTGTGCGATCTGTGACTGCCCGGTCATCGTGCACGAAACCGAGCGGATGGCTGAGTTGTCACGGAATCGCACACCCCCGCCGATCGTACGGTCAGTGCCATTATTTTCTAATGGCACCCCAGTCGTGCCAGGCAGATTGCGTGTTTTCCTGCTGCAATACCACCCGGGCGATCTCACACGATCACGGTTGAAAACACTGCGCGGTGCATGTCTTGAAAATAGGTACATCAACCTTTTTTTTTCAGCGATTGCCACCCAGATGTAACCCCATACATGTGGATGCAACCGCTGTATGCCACCGCACACGATCGCACGTCCCGGGAATCCCCAAGTCTGCACCAACTTTAAAGGGTATATTCACTTTCCCAAGTAAATTTGGGAAAATTGAATTACCCGCACAAATCTCCCTCCCACTATACTTACCTTTCGGCGACCGGTCCTTCCTCTCCACCAGTACGGGTGTACTATCTGTACCTGTTCCATGTATGTTGAATTTCACTCGCAAATTGCAAGCACTCGTTGGTCAACGCAGTCACCTGACGGCACTGACCAATGAGAAGCACTTCTTAGCACTGCTAAATACGGTTTTGGTTAAGATTTATTTTTTTTGTATCAGGACAAGTAGATTGTCATGAGGGACAAGTAGATTCGGCCCCTGCTTTAGTCCTTGGACAAGTAGTTTTCTTCAAAAATTTCCACACCCCTGTACATACACTTCTTCAAAGCCCATCTCTGGGCAAACCAAAAACCAGCCCCACTGCAAGAGATAAGTACTCGTTTATGCCCAGGGCACTGGAGTAAAGCACTTACCTGATCCCAAGTGGTCAGCGTGCTCCGCTTCACCCTCTTGCTGGTGGAATGTTCCATGGTGTCCTCACATCTAATGTAGATAACATCAGCAGTCCTTAGAATGGCCCCCACACCGCCTCTTCTCACCTTCTCTCCAGCAGTCTCGAAGGCCAGAGGGAGCCGGCAGGAGCGTGGAACAGGTAAGTAAAATCATTTTACTCTAGTTCCCTAGACAAAAAAACACTTGCAATGTGGGGGTAGATTTTTGATTCTTTTAAAGAGATGGGCTTTAATATTTACTTAGAGAGCCTAACCCTATTGTAAAATTGGTTAGGCAACCTATTCCTGTAAAAAAAAAAATTGAACATACTTTCCCTTCTGTTATCTGCGCTGCTGAATGGTTCCCTGAGGTCTGACATGTCTGAGTTTCTCAAACCATTTAACTCTAACAGTTTTAGCATTACATAATGGTATTTTCTTTTAATCGGTTCATTATCAATTTTCTAATAAGTGCCTTAATACCTTTTAAATATAAGGAAGAATAACTGCAAGCTAGTGAAAATAGGTAATTAGGTAATTGATTTCTGGATGGTGTGTTTAGGAAACTATCAGCTGGTATTTGCTTGCCGTTGACATATGAGCCACTTTCTTTCAGTTCCTTAACATGAGATCCTTTGTCACAGTTCATAATGGGCCACGTTATTGTTGTGAATGTTGGTTCTGATAACAAAGTGGATACTGTGAAAGTCAAGTTAATGTAAATGAATCCCTTTGTTCCTGAGCAGAGGATTGTTGTGGGGTTATACTCAACCAGTTAGTTGTTTAATTTTTGTAATCTAGACTGAAGAAATGATGGCCGGTATTTGTTTGCTGTAGACAATACTTTTCTTCACTTTCTCTATATTAGGAATTTTGGCTAGGTATGTGTTTGGTTCCTCCTGCCTGGATTCCCTAGCCTTCAGCCCTGCCAGCCAGCTAAAGGGACCTTTTCAAGCTGTATGATGCCCCTGTACACTTGCACCATTGTGGTAATGCAGCACAAAGTGCCATCTGCTGATGCTGTGAAATGTTTACGGCACAGTAGGGATGCACCTATACTGGTATTGGTGCTGATACTGAGCATTTGGGCGGGTACTTGTACTCGCCCAAATGCTTTGATACTTAACCCCGATACCAGAAATTCTGGTCTGAAGGAGATTCCCTCTGACCAAGAGTGCCGCGAGGGAGCATGGAGCGGGCTTTCAGGCCAATCGGGAACCTGGGTGGTGGGTCATGACGCGCCTTCCGGCTTCCTAGTCGGTAGGAAACTGGCTTCATGCTGCCCAGAGACACTGCGAGGCAGCCTGGCTTCCTGACCAACGAGGAAGCCAGGTGGCACGTCATGATCCACCTTCCGGCTTACTGATTGGTCAGGAAGACAGGCGGCATTATTTTTCTTTAATTTTTGGCTTGGGTATGCAAATTGCTGCTGTGAAGTTCATCACAATGTGCGCTGATAAACGATTGCGCAGCAGAAGTCGGGCAATCCCCCTATTGTTGCATGAAAATAATTAACTTCTCAAAATTGGAAAAAAAATCGTCTAAAAAAAAATCGTCTAAAAAAAAATCAGGTCTCACACATTATCTGGCTTCCTGTTTGAGAACTTGGAGTACAGCAAAATACTTATTTGTAGAGGTGCTAGTTGGTAACGTGACAAACACATGACACTTGTAGGAAAATATAATGCAGCCAACTCATTAGACCTCATAGGGGATGTACTATTATGGTGGAGTGGCCCTGCTTGTGCACATGCTATGGCGTGGTGTGGCAGTATCATTGCCATGTTTACAAGGAGGTTTTTCTGAGCAATTGATTTAGTAAAGCCGACTTCAAATAAACGCTCAATGGAAATAAGACCAGGACCGAGAATTAGTGCCTGATATGAAGAATGTGGGCTCTGAGTTCACACTGTGGCCCTTCCTGGCAGTTTGACTGCTTGTACGATTCTTAGGTTCTGACCCCCACTTGCTGGCGTCCATTAAGCTGTTCACATTTCACTGCGGACTATTCACTGTCACTATTTGCAACATTCTCATCAGGGCTTCCTATTTTTTCATAGCTTCTTCCTGAGGACAGAATGCTGCCTGTTAAACACACTGCAGTTGGTGTTCTGCAATAATAATAATAATATGTAATGTAAAATGCAAGGCACATTTGCTAGGGGTAAAGATTGATAGACGGAAGAAAAAAAAAATGCTTTGACCTGTTTCATTGGCATCAGTATGTAGCCTTTTGCATGTTGGTGTAACAGACGTATTAGCTTTGTTTGCCTTTTTATTATTGCTACACCTCCATGATCTTATGCTTCCTTGCCTTTCCATCTCCGTATTGCACATATTTCCCATTGATTTCCTCTCCTGCTTGGTTTGACTCATTGACTATGTTGGGCATTGGATTAGATCCACATGGGGGCTGCATCCGGCCTGCAGGCAATCAGTTGACAGCTACGCTTTAAATCAACACTGATGGTTTTTAATACATGAATTCAAATTAAGTATCTCCTAGCCTCAGATTGCTGTGGACTCTGTGGAGGGTGAAACTGCCGGCGTAATGAGATCCTCCATACTGATCATGTTCGCTGAAATGCCTTAAAGTCTGCTGCAACCCAGCCTTTTTCACAGGTTGTGACCAGCTCTCTTTGCACAAGTGAAAGTGGATGCTTGTTTGACGGCTCTGTTTGCACTGCAAATAATATTTGGACTTCTCGTCTTGTCTCCAGTAGCTTATAACAGACAGATCATTGGGTAGTAGACAGGCAGCATACATAAACAGCTCCTACTCAGCCAAATTTACACTAAAATCTAAATACAGTCCTGTCAATTTTTGTCCAGTTTAGTGCTTGTGCTTATCATTCTCATGGCACTTTTGACAAAACATTACTTGCAGTAGCACTTGTTCCATAAGACTTATAAGGCAGGAGGAGCAGTATTTGTGATGCACAATCTTAAAGGAGAACTATGACATGAGTGATTTCCACTCCCCTCATAGTTCTAAGCCGACCTGTGACAATGAGACTGTCACAGGTCGGCTCAGATCGGGAGGTGAGGGAAAACATACCGGCGTTCGCTCACCTCTCGATCCTGTCACGGCTCTCTGCCGTGACAGGGGGAGGGGCTGGATTCCCCTCTCCCCGCTCCGATCTGCCAGCGCTGACTGGCGGAACGGACGGGGGACGGGGCGGGTACAGCTGGCTCTGCCTCTAGGTAGGCAGAGCCAGCTGTCACTCACGCAGCTGGGCGGATCCCGTCATCTAAGTCGGGATCCGCTCCAGGTGCGGCGTCTCAGTATACCGCGAGCTGTAGCTCGCGGTATACTGAGCTTAGGTTAACGGGAGGACGCTAGTTTGTGTCCTCCCGTTACCCTAAGGAGAACTATGGGGAAAAACACTGACCCCATAGTTCTCCTTTTTAAAGTGGGCTTTTTGCTTTTGTCACCAAACAAATATATTGCACCAGTAAGAGTTGGGGGTCTAATTTATAAAAATGCATAGCTTATTCCTCTAGCTGCATGTAAATTTGTTCTGTGCGAGTTTACCAGCTGTTTTGAGAATGGGGTAGAAAAGAATGTCCAAAAATCACAGCTTGAGGTAATGACCATATGAATGTAACCATTAATACTACAGAGATAGCAATGGTTACATTTACACTGCGTGGCCAAAAAAATACCATACTAAAACACACTGTAATATTTCATTTTACCGACTTTAGGTTTGATTATGGCACGCATTCGCCATGGCATTGTTCCAATAAGCTTATGCAATGTCACAACATTTTTTCCCGTCCTGCATTGTATTACTTTTTTCACCAAGATTTTGTAATGATGATGGGAGAGTCGGACCACGAAAGTATTCTCCAGCACATCCCAAAGATTCTCAATGGGGTTAAGGTCTGGGCTCTGTGGTGGCCAATCCATACGTGAAAATGATGTTGTAAGCTCCCTGAACCATTCTCTCACATCCGAGCCTGATTAATCCTGGCATTGTCATCTTGGAATATGCCTGTGCCATCGGAGAATAAAAATCTGGTCATTCAGTATATTCGGATGGGCAGCTGATCTCATTTTTGTGGCACATAACATTGTTGAACCTAGACCTGACCAACTGAAGCAACGCCAGATCATAACAAAACCACATTCAGGTGGTGACTTTTTTTCTGGCCAGGCTGTGTATATGCTCATTCTTTTGAATTGTATCTCATTACTTGCAGACTGTCTCCCACCTCCACCCCAAGCTGTTCATTTGGCTACACAAATGGAGTTGACTAGTGGCAAGGGTTGTTTTTCCATGAAAATGGTGCTCAAGTTCTTCCCTGGTCTGTATTTTTGCATGCAGTTCTGTGTTTCTTTTTGGTTATTTGGCATACAGCGGCAACAGGTAGTGTTTTTTTTTTCTTTTCTTTTAAACATACTTTAAAAAAAATTGTTTTTCAGTGCAATACACTTAAGGAAACGTCATTTAACGCAAAAATATACCAATCAAAGTAATAATTGCGAACAGACCAAGGTAACCGCATAAAACCAAATACAGCACAATTGTCAGGTTTGTTTAAGTGGTGGTGCACTTAAAGTGTAGTCCCTTAGGGCCTGTTCACTTGAGATCAGGTCCCGATCAGGTGCTGATCAGCAGACATGGAGCTGCTGATGCAGTGTGTTTTTGACACGTTTCTGATGCCTTTTCGGTCCCGATGCTGACAGTTAATTTTTTGTCAACGTTGATGATATCATAATAAGTGGAGCAAGAATACAATTTTTTCTTTTTTTCCCCCTTAGCTGCATTGCGTTGCGTTTCCGTTCCGTTTTCGTTGCGTTTCGTGCGTGTTCGTGCGTTTCCGGACCGTTTCCGAACCGGACAAAATGTGACATGCAGTATTTTTTCTGTCGTAAGCTGAACGGACTGCGCACGTGAGAACTGGAGCCCATAAAACACATAGGGATACTTTGGGGTGCATTTTGAGTGCAGCAGCGTACGGAGCCGGTCAGCACACAAAACGGACGTCGTGTGAACAGGCCCTTAGACCCGAAAGGTCCAGGTCGCAATGCA